ACGATACGGTAGTATCTTTTCGAGAAGTGGATAGGGCTGCAAGCGATACGTGTTATTTCATGACGTTCACACTGAAATGCCAATGACTGGTATGCGTGTCGGCTGCCTCGCAGCACCCAAGCATTATATCGATCCGTGCACACTTCTCCAGGCACAATTGACGTCATGCACGAATACCGTGGGCCAAGTGGCTGCTATCGAGGCACTGACGTACGAGTTGGAGTGCATGGAGAAGGACAAGCGCCGCATTACAGATGTGATGAAAAATCTGGACACGAAGCGCCGCTATATCGTCAAGAGACTGACCGCTATGCCAAACGTGCGATTTGCGTATCCAACGTCTGCGTTCTATGTGTTCTTGGACTTGTCAATTTACTTTCAAGGAAAAAAGGTGTTCACGGCGGACAAGAGCATGCCGCTTGCGGGCGTTGATGATTTCTGTGAGCACCTGCTCATTGCAGTAGTGCCTGGCTCGGAATGTGGTGACGAGTTTGGCATGCGCATTTCTTATGCGAGCTCAATGAAAGCAATTCAACACGCGATGGATGGCTTGGAGAGCTTGCTTCAGTCTCTGGTCTTTGAGTAGCTGAATAATCAAATCAAGCTGTCAAAACTAAATTGAGTTCGTCTATTCGTGTGTTTTCTTAAGTTATTGAGCGACTGTAGGTTTCAGCTGGCAAATCAATTGTTGTTGACTGGACATAATCTATTATGTCGATGGACCCATTATCGATTGGGATCGGCATTCGGCTATGTACCGCTATAGTGGTATATCAAGGACAGGCAATCGATAGGTAAACGTTTCAGTGGTAAGCTGCTGTTTTTGATGTCCGATTTCAATGACTTGATGAGTGGCGTCACAATAAGTGGTAAAGGCCTGAATCGCGTGGTCGGAATCCTATAGAACCAAAGGAGCGCAAACACCTTTAGGTACGATACGGTAGTATCTTTTCGAGAAGTGGATAGGGCTGCAAGCGATACGTGTTATTTCATGACGTTCACACTGAAATGCCAATGACTGGTATGCGTGTCGGCTGCCTCGCAGCACCCAAGCATTATATCGATCCGTGCACACTTCTCCAGGCACAATTGACGTCATGCACGAATACCGTGGGCCAAGTGGCTGCTATCGAGGCACTGACGTACGAGTTGGAGTGCATGGAGAAGGACAAGCGCCGCATTACAGATGTGATGAAAAATCTGGACACGAAGCGCCGCTATATCGTCAAGAGACTGACCGCTATGCCAAACGTGCGATTTGCGTATCCAACGTCTGCGTTCTATGTGTTCTTGGACTTGTCAATTTACTTTCAAGGAAAAAAGGTGTTCACGGCGGACAAGAGCATGCCGCTTGCGGGCGTTGATGATTTCTGTGAGCACCTGCTCATTGCAGTAGTGCCTGGCTCGGAATGTGGTGACGAGTTTGGCATGCGCATTTCTTATGCGAGCTCAATGAAAGCAATTCAACACGCGATGGATGGCTTGGAGAGCTTGCTTCAGTCTCTGGTCTTTGAGTAGCTGAATAATCAAATCAAGCTGTCAAAACTAAATTGAGTTCGTCTATTCGTGTGTTTTCTTAAGTTATTGAGCGACTGTAGGTTTCAGCTGGCAAATCAATTGTTGTTGACTGGACATAATCTATTATGTCGATGGACCCATTATCGATTGGGATCGGCATTCGGCTATGTACCGCTATAGTGGTATATCAAGGACAGGCAATCGATAGGTAAACGTTTCAGTGGTAAGCTGCTGTTTTTGATGTCCGATTTCAATGACTTGATGAGTGGCGTCACAATAAGTGGTAAAGGCCTGAGTCGCGTGGTCGGAATCCTATAGAACCAAAGGAGCGCAAACACCTTTAGGTACGATACGGTAGTATCTTTTCGAGAAGTGGATAGGGCTGCAAGCGATACGTGTTATTTCATGACGTTCACACTGAAATGCCAATGACTGGTATGCGTGTCGGCTGCCTCGCAGCACCCAAGCATTATATCGATCCGTGCACACTTCTCCAGGCACAATTGACGTCATGCACGAATACCGTGGGCCAAGTGGCTGCTATCGAGGCACTGACGTACGAGTTGGAGTGCATGGAGAAGGACAAGCGCCGCATTACAGATGTGATGAAAAATCTGGACACGAAGCGCCGCTATATCGTCAAGAGACTGACCGCTATGCCAAACGTGCGATTTGCGTACCCAACGTCTGCGTTCTATGTGTTCTTGGACTTGTCAATTTACTTTCAAGGAAAAAAGGTGTTCACGGCGGACAAGAGCATGCCGCTTGCGGGCGTTGATGATTTCTGTGAGCACCTGCTCATTGCAGTAGTGCCTGGCTCGGAATGTGGTGACGAGTTTGGCATGCGCATTTCTTATGCGAGCTCAATGAAAGCAATTCAACACGCGATGGATGGCTTGGAGAGCTTGCTTCAGTCTCTGGTCTTTGAGTAGCTGAATAATCAAATCAAGCTGTCAAAACTAAATTGAGTTCGTCTATTCGTGTGTTTTCTTAAGTTATTGAGCGACTGTAGGTTTCAGCTGGCAAATCAATTGTTGTTGACTGGACATAATCTATTATGTCGATGGACCCATTATCGATTGGGATCGGCATTCGGCTATGTACCGCTATAGTGGTATATCAAGGACAGGCAATCGATAGGTAAACGTTTCAGTGGTAAGCTGCTGTTTTTGATGTCCGATTTCAATGACTTGATGAGTGGCGTCACAATAAGTGGTAAAGGCCTGAATCGCGTGGTCGGAATCCTATAGAACCAAAGGAGCGCAAACACCTTTAGGTACGATACGGTAGTATCTTTTCGAGAAGTGGATAGGGCTGCAAGCGATACGTGTTATTTCATGACGTTCACACTGAAATGCCAATGACTGGTATGCGTGTCGGCTGCCTCGCAGCACCCAAGCATTATATCGATCCGTGCACACTTCTCCAGGCACAATTGACGTCATGCACGAATACCGTGGGCCAAGTGGCTGCTATCGAGGCACTGACGTACGAGTTGGAGTGCATGGAGAAGGACAAGCGCCGCATTACAGATGTGATGAAAAATCTGGACACGAAGCGCCGCTATATCGTCAAGAGACTGACCGCTATGCCAAACGTGCGATTTGCGTACCCAACGTCTGCGTTCTATGTGTTCTTGGACTTGTCAATTTACTTTCAAGGAAAAAAGGTGTTCACGGCGGACAAGAGCATGCCGCTTGCGGGCGTTGATGATTTCTGTGAGCACCTGCTCATTGCAGTAGTGCCTGGCTCGGAATGTGGTGACGAGTTTGGCATGCGCATTTCTTATGCGAGCTCAATGAAAGCAATTCAACACGCGATGGATGGCTTGGAGAGCTTGCTTCAGTCTCTGGTCTTTGAGTAGCTGAATAATCAAATCAAGCTGTCAAAACTAAATTGAGTTCGTCTATTCGTGTGTTTTCTTAAGTTATTGAGCGACTGTACGTTTCAGCTGGCAAATCAATTGTTGTTGACTGGACATAATCTATTATGTCGATGGACCCATTATCGATTGGGATCGCATTCGGCTATGTACCGCTATAGTGGTATATCAAGGACAGGCAATCGATAGGTAAACGTTTCAGTGGTAAGCTGCTGTTTTTGATGTCCGATTTCAATGACTTGATGAGTGGCGTCACAATAAGTGGTAAAGGCCTGAATCGCGTGGTCGGAATCCTATAGAACCAAAGGAGCGCAAACACCTTTAGGTACGATACGGTAGTATCTTTTCGAGAAGTGGATAGGGCTGCAAGCGATACGTGTTATTTCATGACGTTCACACTGAAATGCCAATGACTGGTATGCGTGTCGGCTGCCTCGCAGCACCCAAGCATTATATCGATCCGTGCACACTTCTCCAGGCACAATTGACGTCATGCACGAATACCGTGGGCCAAGTGGCTGCTATCGAGGCACTGACGTACGAGTTGGAGTGCATGGAGAAGGACAAGCGCCGCATTACAGATGTGATGAAAAATCTGGACACGAAGCGCCGCTATATCGTCAAGAGACTGACCGCTATGCCAAACGTGCGATTTGCGTACCCAACGTCTGCGTTCTATGTGTTCTTGGACTTGTCAATTTACTTTCAAGGAAAAAAGGTGTTCACGGCGGACAAGAGCATGCCGCTTGCGGGCGTTGATGATTTCTGTGAGCACCTGCTCATTGCAGTAGTGCCTGGCTCGGAATGTGGTGACGAGTTTGGCATGCGCATTTCTTATGCGAGCTCAATGAAAGCAATTCAACACGCGATGGATGGCTTGGAGAGCTTGCTTCAGTCTCTGGTCTTTGAGTAGCTGAATAATCAAATCAAGCTGTCAAAACTAAATTGAGTTCGTCTATTCGTGTGTTTTCTTAAGTTATTGAGCGACTGTACGTTTCAGCTGGCAAATCAATTGTTGTTGACTGGACATAATCTATTATGTCGATGGACCCATTATCGATTGGGATCGGCATTCGGCTATGTACCGCTATAGTGGTATATCAAGGACAGGCAATCGATAGGTAAACGTTTCAGTGGTAAGCTGCTGTTTTTGATGTCCGATTTCAATGACTTGATGAGTGGCGTCACAATAAGTGGCAAAGGCCTGAATCGCGTGGTCGGAATCCTATAGAACCAAAGGAGCGCAAACACCTTTAGGTACGATACGGTAGTATCTTTTCGAGAAGTGGATAGGGCTGCAAGCGATACGTGTTTTTCATGACCTCCATGCATATTTGTATCACAAACGCTTGCTGATACGATCGGTAGCGAACTATCGCTAGGACATCGCTATCCGAGATACTAATACAAAGAGGATAGCTCCAATTGAGGCTGATTGCTACCCATTGAAGAATATTGACTCTAAGAAATGAAAAGCCATTCAAGTACGAAGAAGCTCATTACGGTGGATATTGGGCCTTCTTTATAACAGTTAGAACATCATCATTCATGCTCAATCCGTATATTCGGACAGATTTTGCTGCTTCATTTCCCACGAAGGTCACTTTGCAACCTCTGCAAAGGCCAGCGCGCTTAACGACTGCTCCAAGCCATCAATCGCATGCTTGATCGTCTCCATTGACGACGCATACGAGATACGCAGGCCGTTCTTTACGCCGAACGCCGAACCAGGCACCAGCGCAACGTGGCAATGGCGCAAAAGGTATTCGCAGAAGTCGTCCGCATCCTTCACCACCTCACTCTTGTCTACTGTCATGCCCTGCTTGCCCTCAAAGTACGAAGACAGGTCCATGAAGACATAAAATGCCGACGTCGGGTAAGCGAAGGCGAGCTTCGGGATTGCCCGCAGGCGTTTCACAATATACTTGCGCTTCTCGTCCATAATCGCCAGCGTCTCCGTCATGCGCTCCGTGTTTTGTGAAACACACTCCATTTCAAACCTCATGGCCTCCACCGCAGCAGCCTGGCCGACAGAATTCGCACACGACGTCAACTGACCCTGCAGCTTGGTACAAACCTGCACAAAGTACCTTGGGGCGGCTAAGTAGCCAATTCGCAGACCCGGCATCGCGTGCGACTTTGAAAAGCCGTTCACTGTCAATGTGCGCTCGTACATGCCCGGTATTTTGGCGAAACTCTGGTGCTCACGCTTTGCCACGCCTTCATCCTGATACACCAACTGCTCGTAGATTTCATCAGCAATCACCAAGATATGACGGAAGTGAGGCTTGCGCAGAACCGCAGCGATGCTCTCCAGTTGAGCCGGTGAATGAACAGTGCCTGCAGGGTTGCTCGGGTTGCACAGCATCAGGGACTTTACGCGGGGGTTGGCCCCCAGCGCCTTCTCCAGCTCCACCGGATCAATCAAGTAGTCCTCCGACAGCTTCGTCTGCAAGATCACAGGCTCGCCGCCCGTTAGCTTTACCATCTCTGGGTAGCTCACCCAGTACGGTGCAGGAATTAGTACCTGCTCGCTAGGCTTGGTGATTGTCAGCAAAGCCTGGTACACGCTCTGCTTCGCACCGTTCGACACAAGGATCTCCGTCAGAGGATCGTACTTTACGCCCTTGCATGTCTCTAGATACTGCGCGATCAAAGACCGCAGCTCCGCAGTGCCCTTTACGTCCGTATACTTTACTTTGCCCTGACTCATGGTGGTCATACCAGCTTGCAGCACGCGCTTAGCAGGTGCAAAGTCGGGCTCGCCCACACACAGCGACCATACCTGCTTGCCCTCCGCCTCAAGCTGCTTCGCCATGCCGTGGATCGCTACCGTCTTCGACGGAGCAATTTTGCCCAAAAGTGGATTCTGCGGGTACTTTTCCGTCATTGGGGCGTTCTCACGAAAGATAGACCCTGTGATCTGGTTGCCACCAAGTCTTTGCGTGACTTCGTCGAGGGATTCGCGGAATTTGAGAATTTGCTGCTCTGAGTTGGGGTTGAATTTGTAAAGACCCTGAAAGAGATCGAAGCTGTCCTTGCATGTATCCTCCACAAGTCGCACGAGGTTCTTAAACCCACGAGTGTCGATTGGCGTGTTTTTCACACCCTGCACGCTGAGAATTCGGCCAGTCAAGTGAGTCAGAAATTGGCTACTGGCAGCATACTCGTCATGAGACTCGCATGTCATCTCCAGCATGCAGCACATTTCCTCATCAAAAATGTGCAGGAAGTTTTCCATCACGTGGTTGTGTTCGCCAGAAACAACGCGCACCTTTTCATACATCATTCGCAGACCTCTCCAGGAGTACTTGCCACTTTCGGGACCGAACATTGGGTGCGTACACAAAATACTGGCGCTATGGGGCAGGTCCTTAAGCAGTATTTGTTTCGGATGTGTCTTTACGGATAATACGTCTACGATCACGATATTTTCCAGCAGGTGCTTTGGAATCTTGCTAAGGACGTTTCCAAACGACAAAATGCTGACACAAAGCACGAGAACATCCAATCCATCGAAGAACTGCTCCAGCTGCATCGGCGGCTCATAATACTTACATCCAAGCTGCGCAGCCACAGCAGAATAGTTTGAACGCGACGTAGCACGAACTTCGTGCGACTTAGCCATCGTCTTAGCCAAGAATTGTCCAAAGTTACCGAAGCCATAGATACCAATGTTCAAACGCACCGGCTTGCGCTGTTGTGGCGTAATCGCTGGTGAGGCAGTGACTGGGTTCGCTTGATAGGCGCCTGCCGCCTCTAAGGTCTTTCGCACCTCTCCTAGCAACTTTCCCTTCGTCGGGTAGGATCCCAACACACGCACAAACTTACAGAATTCGCGTAAGTGACGCAGTGCATTTAGGACGTTTTCATCCGTCTGGCGTCCAATGAGGTCGACGTAGAACAGGTAGCTGTACTTCCTGCGGACACTTTGCGCTGAAAGTGAAAAGTCTTCAGAGGAACACTCTATCGTGTCTCGATATTGCTGTTCCGCCGTGTGTCCCCATGGTCTGCTCTCAATCTTAGACATGTCAATGTCTCGCAGCGAGAACGCCGACAGTGCCTTGTAAAGTTGACCCTTTTCGTTGCTATCCACAAAGGAAAACACGAGGGATGTCTTAAACTCCGTATCTACATTGGCACCAAGACTCAAATCCTCTTTCTTTTTCAGTAACAAAAAGCGAGTGAAATTTCCTGTGTCATCTTCCACATTGCGCTGCAGCACCTGCAATCCATAGTACTCTGCAGCCAAGTCACTGGCCACCGCAGCCGTATCCTTCCACTGGTGTTCCGCCAGCATCTTAGCGCTGCCTGCTGTGTCATACTCGGCTCGTGGTTTGGCACCCATAGAAGCGATTGTGTGAGCGCACTGGGCCAGTGCCTGCGGGTGGCTGATAACCGTCTTGATGTCGCTCTTGTTCACACCCGGAAGCGCCATCAGCGAGTGCTCTACGCGCAGGTCATACTCACCCACAATATATAGCCCAAACTTGAGCAATAGATCATAGTTGGCATGGATGCTGCCACCTAGTGAGTTTTCGATGGGGAGCATACCGAAGTCCGCATCTTCACGCTGCACGGCCAGAAACGCCTCTTCGAAGGAAGGATAGCCCATCGCTACGATATTGGCCGATGATCCCAACAGCTGACGCGTTGCCTTCTCCGAGTAGGCGCCAGGCATTCCCTGGTACGCTACCTTTACGTCGCCCTTCATGCTTTGTTGGCTGTCTTCTGATAGCAAAGGTTGCGCAAATGGCGAAATGATCTTGTTTACATGGATCGGAAACAAGAAAGGATGGCTATTGGTCAAATATATGTGTTAATGCAAAGCTTGAGTTCATTACTTCCTACTGGTTGCAAATTTGTGCTTAGATCGGATAAATCTTATATTATTAGGTAAACTTGATGTATATTCTATCTTGTCCTCAAAGTATGCAGGTCTCAAAACAAGGCTAAATGAATGGTAGTTGGTGACTGCTTTTGTCTTTGAATTCTGCTAAACTCAAAAGCATGTTATCGTCCAGATCACCACACGACTTGAACTCTTTCGGGCTGTCCATAAATGTCAGTGCAAGTTGAAGAGTGTGGAACAGCTGCTGAAAAGAGTTTTTAATTACGAGTTGAAGGCTGAAAAAGCTTTGACAATTTTCAAAAGTCTTACGCGAGCGTCTCATCTTGTACCCTGCAGATTTCAGTCCTCGCAATTTGCTTCAACGAAGCAACCAAGTGTGTTGTATACCAACGTGTCTGTCTTTCCTTCCATGATGAAAGTAACTTTGAGACTAGAGCGCAGGAATAAGTCCTGGCTGTCAAGCTGGCGTAAAGACCAGCTGCGCATACCGGAGGAGAGGTGGCTCGACGGACTACGTAGACTAGAGGTAGGATTTAGTGAGGACAAAGGACCTAAAATTGATCTCGTCTGAAGTTGGCTCAAAACTATTCATGTTTGTCAGTTATAAGCCCAATCTCCTCTCCAGGACGCCTTTAAAAAATATGGATATATCTTCGACTACGCTTGCATGAACAGGGTTGACGAAACGAAGATCCAGACGCGAAAACTCAAGATGCAAAGGCAGTCGTTTTCTTGTGGCTTCGTCGGTGTCGGATAAATGTAGAACAATATGTATTGAGAACTTCTTACCTTAGCTATATCTTGTGTCCGTCACAACCGATCTTTCTCGAGTGTGCCAAAGAGTCGTCTTGCGTGCTTTGAGAATCGCAACTCTTCAACGCTCTGCACCCTTTCAAGAAATACTGCTCAACGAACGCGGCCTATGCGGTGAAGTGAAAATGGAGTACTACATCGCCGCTTAAGATCATGCAACATTCAAGCGAAGGGTCAGTGAGTACGACTTGGTTGTCACGATTTTGAAAGACTTGATTTTTGGATGAGTTTATAATGTCGGCTTCGGATCCGCAAGACAACTCGTTGACATCGAACCTGGCGACGGCTTAACCTCTTTGCGAAGACGCAGCGCATGGAGCAATGCAGCGTATGCAGCCGTACGCAGCCAAGTGTTTGTAAAAAGCAACAATATAAGCGTGTTGCATTATTCCGACTGCCAACTGCCGCAACTCGGTTGCGTATTACAACAAAGCGTAGAACAGCGTTTGAAGAACTAGTAAAGGATCGTGCAACTACTGCAAGAGACAAGATCAATGCGTTGTGAAGTCCCGGTACAAATTAAAACACAACATCGGCACGATTCTAGCGCGCCAATGTAGCACGCGAGGATAACGAGCACGGTAAAGATATGTATTGCTGGTCGGTGACTTGAATACGAGACAGCAAATGGTGTACTCTACTAAGTTCACGAAGATCGTGAATCATAGCGTTTGCAAGTGCATCTGTGCGAGGTCTTTATTGACATAACAATATCATAAAACTTAGCACACTATCATCTGCATGACTCACGTACACTATATTGAATGTTTTAGCAACATTCACTTAAGCGGCTTTTTAACATTAATTAGTTGTAATGTGCTTGCCCATAATCGCTAAAGACCATTACATAACATTGACACGATCACTAGATGTCAATGAGAATGTTAATATCAATATACTGGACAATAGTATCCAAAGAAAGAAATTTGTGGAAACAAAACCTCATGTGATATTCTCTCTCGAAATTAACTACACGATGCCTATTAGCCGATAAAGGCCATGATATCAGCCGACACACCGGCTAACGAAGAATGGCGCATTGAGTGGTGAGCAGCTAATCAAGATACACTTTAGTGCCTACGCGTTAGTTCAAAGTAAGGTCCAAGATAATTTATATTCAAAAACCTTAACGTTATTCAATATCCTAGTTCTCCTTACCCCTATCCAACAGGTGTGCTGGTTGGGTAATTCGCTTCCTCGCACGGGTGTACGTGAAATTTAGCGGCCTTGCATACAGTGTTGTCATTGTGAGTAGACTATGCTATCATCAGTATAGTCGGAGAGTGTATAGAGCTACATTAGCAAAGCTACTAATTATCAGGAAGACAAGCTCTAAGGTTTACGTCTCCATAACCCTCTCAAGGCTAGCTTTACAAGCTTGTGACTTCTGGTTATAACAACTGCGTCTAGTATTCACAAATACTATTTCATTTCACGAAGAACTACGCTCTAGCAACAGATGCTGTACAAGCAGGTTTGCAACTGATTTGTAAATGTCTTTTGTCAAGCACTAATATAGAAACACCTATACTTAGTGCTAGTCATTATAGCCTTCGTACTATACTCTTATGTTTCCATAGTACTTGATAAAGTACTATTAGTGCGTGGTTCTCTACAACGATGTGAACTCTTGTACCTTAAGTCACATCAAGCCACCAATGTACCCAAAGTACAACCACACCACAATGGTAAGCAGGTGTGTATGTAAAGTCCACACCTATGTGTAACCCCGTTACACCCTCACCCATCACTCCGTAGGACCCGGCGTACCCAAGATTCTTTACACTTATAGCAAAAGTTCCATCGACGTTATTATCAGTTTTGCTACTAAAGCACCAAAGCACTTCTTGTAAAGCGTTCGAGCAAGTAAGTGATTAACACTTGCTCATAAAGCACCGTAGTGATTAGCGCTAGATTATAATGCACTTTACTGCTTTACACTAGCTTATAAAGCAGCTGAGTGTTTCACGCTTACTTATAAGCCTCTAAGTGTCCAGCACATATTCATTGGGCAATAAAGTGCTCCATGCATTTGCTTTTTGAGCTTTCACGCTCTTTGTGCTTTGTGCTTAGTATATACAAAGTCTTATACACTTTATTTATTGATTCTGAAGCAGTTGTCAGTGCTCCTCACGCAAGTGAGGTACCGATAGCTGCTTCCTCAGAAGGTCAGAGGCGAAGCCTGACTACTGATTTTGCTTCAACAGCATCTAGTGCTATGAATCGTCCGGCGACTGCTGTCGCTGCTTCTGATCGTCCCAATAAAAGCTCTAACGACGTCAGAGAAGTCTTACCACCATAACAAAATTGGCGAAGCTAATTTTCAGCATCTATTACCAAAAGCTGGTACGTTTAGGCTTCTCAAGCGAAAGAAAGCACAAAAATACCTTCCAGAAGTTATTTTAACCAAATGCCATTTTGGGTAAAAATCGGGTCAAAAGGTTACCAAATTGCATCGTCCTCAACATTTGTCAAATAATGACTCGCAAGGCAGCGTATGAGCGCCATCGCGCACAGGCTGCTGAGACACTGGTGCTTTCCCTCACTGCTGGCTGGATTACGTGTCTTCTTAAGAAGAATGAGCATCTACAGGAGAAAGCAGAAGAAATGTTGCTATTGGCTGAACAGCGGCTGCCGATGCTTCATGCAATCTTCGTCCTGCATATTATGGGCTTGTCCGCCGTCTTATGGTCTTTCTTTTGGCAACAAAGTTTATCTAAATCAATCACAGCGCTATCCAGGTTTGTGTTTAGTAACCTTTTGAATGACAGTACTTGTTATTGTAGACGAACGATGCTTATTTCAGACACTAATTTGACAGACAAGAGCGCGACGTTGGTCTTGTCATGGGCTGCGTACTGCTTCCTTTGGTGCTGTTTAGTCGACTTCTAGCGGATATTTATCAGGAAGAACATTTTTCAAGCTTTACTTTTTTCTACGCGTGGACCAGCATTTCCGTTGGTGTTAGTGTGCTGCTGAAAGTTGCGGTGTTTGGGTCCGTAACTTCGCTCAGTGTCAGTATCTTTGTGGATATGGTGTTGCTGCCGGTGTTATTTGGGCTGCTAATTCCAGTTGAGGCGGAGTGGAGGTTCCTACTGGCTACTGGTGGACGAGTCTTTGTGGCAGTTGTACTGATGACGGGCTTCAAGCTCTTGCCTCAGTCGTTCACTGTTGGAGAAGCGTTGCTCGTTTCTGAAGGTATCGGTCTTTGCTGGTACGATCTTGTACTGGCAACGATGTACAAAGTACGTCTCGCGACTACTTTTTGTGATGATGAATTGGACAACGCCACTAAACATTGTATGTGATGTAGCTTAGTGAATGCGATGTCGTCGATTTGCAGCCCAATGTGCTTCACCCGTGGCATATTATCGACATTGACCGACCAGACTATGTAACGGCACTACAAGTTGGAATGTTGGGTTCGCTGCTCGTGTGCGTGGCTCTGATTCCATATTTTTGGTCGTATGGAACTCCGGCGCCCACTATCGTTGCACAGCCGTTACCCGTGAAAGGAAGTGTAGGGTTTGTACTCACAGCTGCGATCGCAGTATGTGGCGTAGTATATCCGTGGAGCTGTTTTTTACTGCATACATGGAACCCGTTTGCATGGCTGCTTGACTTCCTCCTTGAGTCGAACAGTGTGTCAGTACTCTTGCCACCACGATTGAAATTGATTGGATATTGGGCGATATGTCTGGTCGTCTTGATTCCGTTGTTGGCGTTTATCTCAAACCGCTTTGCGCTGCGTAGAATTATAGCACGGAAGCTTTTCCACCTCTTAGCCGTATTGATGCTTGGCCCAGCATCATTTATAGATGTATCCATCCTATCGTTAAGCTATGGCGTGGCTCTAAGTATCTTCGTTCTTATGGAGTGTGCGCGCGCAGTGGCATTGCCACCCTTCGGTCAGTCGGTCGCTGTATTCATGCGATCATTTATCGATCATCGTGAAGCCGGGCATGTCATCTTGACCCACTCGTATTTGCTTCTTGGATGTGCTTTGCCGCTATGGCTTGCTCCATCATCAAGCAGGCGATCTGCACTCGTGGTAAATGCTGGTGTACTTGCACTGGGCGTCGGAGATGCAATGGGTGCCATGGTGGGCTCAAGGATTGGCAAGCGTAAACTTTTTGGCAGCAAGACTGTGGAGGGATCTGCAGCTATGTTCATTTCAATGATGCTTGCTTCAATGCCGCTTCACGACTACCATTTGCGCTTTTTCTATAATGGGGAACATGTTCAGGTAAGATATTGATGACGGCGTTCTGACGGCGATATGCTTTTATTACTGATCAATTATGTTTTTTATTACGCTGCCAGTTGATGCTGTTGATAGCAGCAACCATGCTAACAACTATACTAGAGGCCGCAACGGCGCAGATTGACAATTTGGTGCTCCCCCTCTACTTCTATATAGTGTGTAATCTAGTCAATTGTCACCGAGGCTAAATTGGAACACGCAGATTCTCAACTATTAAGGAGTGACAACGCCATATTTTCAATTATTACTTGATGCTTCGTGATTCAAGTGCACTTATTAAGATATATTACGCCGCAAAGTCTAGGACATGGCTTATTTTCGGGTGTGCACTGCTTAAGCTCGGATCTCATCTTGCTGGTTGAGCAGGCTCTCAAAACCAACACTGGAGCCAGTACAAGGAGAAAGGCGCAAGTATTGGAACTCCAGCCACTAGTGACACGCGCATGCAATAATATCAATACGTGGATGTTGGATAGAATCAGGACAGCACCAGGACGTAGCATTCATAGCCAGCTGTGCATGACTCTTGTTTGTCTGTCATTAATAGACATTCCTGTTTGGAAACACCACAGACATCCGCCAGGGCAAGTCTAGATCCACGGTTTCAATGACTTTAAACGCATCTCGGCGCACTTAAAGCACTGTTAAGGTTTTTGGGTCGCTTGCGAAGTGATGCGCGGCTTGTTCTTGTTCGACTTCGCTGCAATCACTTACATCTACAGCTTGGCTTCCATTGCAAGATGATGTGTTTGCGTATGAAGCAAGAATGTATCTACTACAGAATGATCGAAACCGTTTTTTTTGCGGTCAGTATTGTAAGAATGAACATCATACAATATGTCCGTACCAGCTTGAATCAATCAATCGGCTTTATTGATAACACAGTCTTAAGTAGCAAGTAATAACTGTCACGCTTAGAAATTGATACGCTACAGGCATAGTACCATTGAAGATAGACGATCATTCACTTCTTTTGCCGTCGATTGTATTACAATGGTCTGGCTGAGACAAATCCAATGTAATTGGCAATTCCACGACCAACGAACTCCTTCGTATCATGCAACGACTATGTCGTTTTTTCGTTGGTCTTGTACATCTATAATTTCTGACAGTATTTTCGTTGATCGGTTGCATCACAACCTGCTGACGTGTATTACCACTATCAGCCCACTAGCGACCGATTGACGACCATCGTTCGCTACGGGGTTGCTACTGATATTACACGTCAGCAGACTGTAATGCAGACGATGTCTGGTGCAGATCAAAACATTTAAAGGTCTTTCAATGACTCATTCTCTTTCAGTATATCGCCAGTAACACTCGGGCGATACGCTGCGGTTTCAGAAATATCGATGTCATCTATGACAACAAGAAAGACCTCAAATGTGTGAGTATGTTGTAGGACAACAGTATTCGCGTATGCAGTTGATAGCTTTATCAAGGTAACGCGCAACTCAAAATCCTATAAAATGAAAGCACAAGATGGAAATGGAAATGTATATTCAGCGTGTCGAGTCCTGTGAAAAGTAGCGGCGATTCTGCAACGCTGAGAAAACGTTTTTGTCAGACTACAGTACTGTGGAGATGCACATTTCCTAGATGTTTTTTTCGTATATTCTAGATAGAACGATTATCGCGCATTCAAAAGCGACAGCGACATGTGAGAGAAGCCAGTCGTATGTCGCTGCTAGAAAGTTGAGCTGTTTGAGTACAAAGAAATTGACATGAAAAAAAAGACGCTGTGTTTGTATTGATAAATAAAGTGCTAGCACGGTGCCAAAGGCAGACACATCGTTCCTTACAGCCAGCAAGCATCGTGTACAAATCATACAATTTGGCTAGCATGTGATGTGAACACAACATGCTTGCATAGATACGATACGATTAGTTTGGTGCAAGTATGACGAGATAAAAGCTAGTGATCTTTTGTACTGATTTTTTTGCGTTAAGCCTCACTTTGGTATAACAATGATTAACTATCTTTGCGCTACAATTCGCGGGCGACGATTTCTTAGCCTTTTTCCTATAAACAGAATGTCCATATTACATACAACTCACTCAAGCATGAGATTTGTTTATTTGGCTGGTCTCAGCCCCCAGCCAGGTCAATAGCAGTGCTCGAGACCAAGACAATATTCATTCATCATTCATCAATTTCCTTCATAACACTCAATTATCGATCAAGAACAATGTATTCTTCGCTTATCCTCATGGTTACCATGACTTCGTTCCTTGTAAAAAGCGCTGCTGTCGCAGCTGACCCCGGCCACGAGGTAAACTCGAACCCGCTTGGCGGCGAAAACACTGATAGACGCCGTTTAGCATTTGGGGGAGGATCTAGTTGATGTCGGAGAGCTTGTTGATAAATTTGTTCACGAGAATCACCCCGTTAAAGAACTGTTTGTAAAGTGGTGCCACGAAGACCAGGATCCTAAGAAGGTGATGAAGCGCACCAGATACAATGAGAACGCAAGCTTAAGACGTCCGACAAGAAAAAAACGCCGAAATGCACAGATTGAGGCTCTCTACAAGGCATACATGTCCTATAAGCAAGTAACGCGCTTGTCTAGTAGAAATCTAGCAGCAGTCGACTGTAACTTTAAGAAAAACGGTGAATAAACAGTGGATTTTGTGACACAAGCCTAATTCATTCTCTGTACTGGTTATATTGTTGTTGTTGCGCTTTCTAAGCTTGTAGCTGCTTAATATTGACTCAAGTTTGACGTACTTGCTGACAGACCGTGATAGGTAAGCGATAGTTTGTACTGCACTGGAACTTCATCAAACATCGATCCATAAACATCGATGCAGACGGACCATGTATTGAATAATTTATACCATAAGCAAATAAATTGCGTTTTATGACCATAGACTGATTATATCATGTATACTTCTCTCTCGCTATTGGGCAAAAGAGGACGACACAATTGCCTTGTCACACACACACAACAGCTTCCATATCAGTGGCTCACTTTGAACGTTTTGTATAGTCCATTCCGTCTCCTCCTTTCATGACATTTTGGTGCTTGTCCCTCCTTCTTTCTCGTCGAGTAGCAGTATTATCTGTTTGTCGTCAATCACCGCTCCTGCAGACTACGAGATGGTTGTATACGGAGCCCAGTGCCACGCTTGACGCTACTAAGATTAATGGAAACAATGCGTCGCCCTCCGACACGTCTGCACCATCTCCACGAAGATCCAAGCGGGTCAGTGAGCGGCGGAAGCGACCGATAACTGCTGCAACTCGTGCAGTAGCAGCAGCTAAACTACCTGGATCATCTTTGGCTGCCGTTAAATTAGAAACTGTGGACAAAGACGAAGGCAAAAAGCGGCCACTGGTGGCCAACTTTAAAGACGGGAAGCCGTGGATCACAGTCATGGGTCTTGGCGGAGCAGGCAGCAACGCTGTTAACAACATGATTGCGTCGCAGCTGGAAGGTGTCGAGTTTGTTGTAGCCAACACGGACTGTCAAGCTTTGGGACGGTCATTAGCTCCTTATAGGATTACTTTAGGGAAAGATATTACTAAAGGACTGGGAGCTGGATCAAAGCCTGAGCTGGGAAAACGCGCGGCGGAACAGCAGAAGGCGGAGATTGAGCAGATACTGCAGGGCAGTAACATGCTGTTTATTACTGGCGGAATGGGCGGAGGAACTTGTACAGGAGCAGCGCCTGTTGTAGCGAGTGTAGCCAGAGAGTTGAGCATCTTGACAGTTGGTGTAGTGAGCACGCCATTTCGCTCGGAAGGTCCAAACCGCACTCGGTTAGCAAATGCTGGTGTGAAGGAATTGGCCAAGTACGTTGACACGCTGATTGTTGTGCCGAATCAAAATTTGCTGGCATTGGCGGACAAAAGTACTACTATGCTCGATGCTTTTCGGTATGCAGATGATGTGTTGTTGGAAGGTGTCAAGGGCGTGACAGACCTGATTGTTCGTCCAGGACTCATTAACCTGGATTTTGCCGACATCAAGACTATCTTGTCGAATGCAGGTCGTGCCATTATGGGCTCAGGCATTTCTAGTGAGGAAGGCCGCGCTCGTAAAGCAGCGGAACAGGCACTAGTAAATCCGTTGCTTGGTGACCTACCCACTGAGTCGGCACACGGTCTATTGGTGACTATTCGTGGTGGAGAAGACATGACGCTTTTCGAAGTGGATGAAATCATGGAAATTATTCGCAACCGTGTGCACGACGAAGCCAACATTATCTTCGGAACTTGCTATGATCAATCGCTAGATGGGTCTGTCTACGTGTCCATTATTGTGAGTGGCATCCAAACTGATATCATCTCGCCGCCGATAGGAGGGTCTCGTATTTCTTTGCAAGAGACCCACAAACGCACAGATAGGGAAGAGCTTGGTGCTAGGGCTAAGTTTGGTGAGGAGGAAAAGCCAGTCGAGCAAAAAAAGGGGTTATTCAGTCGCTTTTTTTCGCTCTAAGGAGTTACCATAAGGATGAAATGGGAAGTAGTGTTGTGCAACTTTGGTTTTGTTGGTAGCAAGAGCGACTAAAGAGTCGTACGTGTGATAGTCTTTCGTCACAAAGGATTTGAACTGTGTCCAAACGGAAGATAAACAACCAGCTGGATAATGTCATAGGAAAAAAGAGCATACGCGAGACTTTACCAGGTCTAACACATTGTAAGTCGGGTACTTTAATTTGAGAGCTCACCAATAGCGCCTTCAAGCTGAGAACGAGCATATTGCAACAGCTCCACGTCACGCTTTTCCAATGCAAGTTTGAGATTGCCATCAGCTTCATCTTTCTCGTAGCCTAGGCTTTTCAGGAAAGCCACGCCACCTACAAGACTAGCCACACGTTTACGGAACGCTGGGTTCTCTAGGTTTATCGTACGGAACTTTTCTTCGTCGGGCTTCTCAACCAGGTTCTTCACATACACGTTCAGCGTCTTGAGAGCTGTGAGTCCATCGTTGGCAACACGATACTTCTTCAAAATGGCCACATTTTTTGCTACCTGCTCTTTTGGTGTCAGCACGGGGCTAGTTTTTTTCTCTTCATCGTTCTTCGTGTCCGCAACTTTAACGGGTGCAAGGTCAATAGGAGGACCCCCTAACCGACCGCCACGAGCCTGGCGCTCACGCTTGTCCATCTCAAGTTGCTTACGCAGGCGCTCACGCTCCCGCTTGGCATCTTCCTTGTCTTTCTTCATCCGCTCGGCAGCGATCTTTCGTTGAATCGCCTCAATCTCATCACGAGCCTCCAATAGTCCCTGTCCTTCGGTACGGCGCTTCAACTCATTCAAACGCTGATCTTCTTTCTCTTTTTCCTCCCGTTCCGCACGTTTCTTTTCAACAAGCACTTTCAGCGCCTCGACCTTCGCGGCCTTCTCCTCGGGTGTCAGCTCCCGTTTTGGTGTGGTCTTCGATAAATCAACAAACTTGATTGGTTCATCAATATCCACATCATCCTGATGGTCACCAAGCCAATTAACAGCCATTTCTAAGCCCTGGTTGTCCGTTGCAAGTAGCGCTTTGCGGGAGCGCAGTTCGTCAAATCCCATTTCCTTCAACTGTACCAGTAGCCCTTTGTTTACAGAAGGAGAACAGATTTTGTTACCTTCTTCTTTCATCTCTTCGTCATCATCGTTCGAATGACAGACGCCAGTAACCGGGTCACAAACCATATCGGAGTTTGGCACCGCAGGTCTAACAGCAGGAGTAGAAACAGAAGCTGAAGCTGCTGTCGGAACATTCGGGACTAGACTCACATTGTTAAACCTCTTCAATCGAGCTTCTCGAGCCTCACTAGACGATAGAGGCTTAATTGTGGTGGTAGAACCGGCACCTAGCGTCACCCCTGGCGAAGCAAACGGGTTGAATGCCGCCTGACGCCACTGTTCAATCTTTGCACGCAATTGGTTCGGATCAGCACCCACGAGCTCGTCTACTTTACCTTGATTCAAATAGAATTGGAAAGTGGGGAAACCGCGTACACCCAGTGCACCGATCAACGAGCGGTTCTGCGCTTCATCCACCTCAAGAAACACCACATCGTGAAACTGATTGCTTAGCTGGTGGTACACGGGCTTAATATGCTGACACGGACCACACCATACGGCAGAAAATTTCACTACTACGAGCTTTCCACCAGCAGATTGCATTTGCGCATTCCAGTCTAAATCGCCATGCACTGGAATCACACCCATCTCTCTCTTTAACGTATTATGTGCTTATTTGTTTGGTTCTTAAAGATTTGATTCTTCTTCTCTTCAGATTCATAATAATGGTGTGGTACACAAAATAACGCTTTTTATAAGATTTGGAAGGATGCCTGTTTGTAAACATCCCGTATTCACGACCTTTCTGACAAACCAAAAGCACCAGCAAGAGCACGAAACTCAAGGACCTAATTACTAAATAAACGTTTTCGCTTTACTAACGATATTGGAGGTTTTTTTTTTAGCCGTTTGTTCGTCATGATGTGGTGATACGAAAGTCTACTTGTGGCTGTTAGGCAGCTGTTGATGTTATTGGCAAATGTGGAAGTAAGGCATCAAGCAAATAAGTTTCTTAGAATATCCATGTCCTACATATTATCTCCTCCATGTCTTCCTTCATCTGCTCCTATCAAATGCGGGACATTGGTATGCTCATATGATACCATTACAATGCAATCTTTGGCAAGTAAGCATCACAAGCCGACAATGAAACCGTACGCCCTCCATATGATACAACAATCAAATCATACGTTTTCCTCCCTACGTTTTGTTTGTGCGACGCTACAATGTAGTGCTTTTTTCGATTAGAGTGAACCCATTTGTCTTGCATAGCAATTTGGCTTGAAGTACTGTAACTGTTTCAAAAGAACGAAAGCACTCAAATCTTTAATGTATTCATTTTGCATGTGGACTATAATTTCGGCACATGTATCCATGTAGACACATTGAATGTTGTTTGTATCATAACTACAGCATGTGACGAGAAATGTCACTAAAAGAGCATGTTTTAAAACTTACTTAAGATGCAGTCTTTGTTGATTGACCCACATCTTAAGTAATGTTGCTAAATCAGGGTAAAGTTAATATCACCACCTGTCTCTGGTTGAGTAATTGTGTCCCCATTTTCATTTAACTGAAATCAAACCCACTCTTGGTCACTTGTCCTTGTTAAAGTCGCCCGTGATCGTTCCAGCAGACGCATATCTTCTCTTCTTTCCTGCTTCATCTCATTCTCCAAGCACCCGATATTTCCAAGTTGCACTGTCGTCATATCCGTGTAACTTATGGCTCGAATCAACCGCTCCAAGCAGGCGTTATTGCTGAATCCCGAATTCTGGACGTCGAAGCAGCTTGAAGAGTGGCTCAAGCGCTTTGAAGAAGGTCGCTACGCAAATTTTGTTGGTCCATTGAAGGATTGCAAAGGCGCAGATGTCCTGCGCTTTACTGCCGCCGATTGGGCAAAGCTGAACCCTCCGAATTTGGCTACGAGCCTTCGCTTTACGCTTTTAGGTATGGTGCAGGTTGCAACGCGCGACGAAACGTCGCCAAATGTGACGAACTTTGTTCCACTCGTTACGTCTCCTGGGAAGATAACGAGCAAGAAGTCGCTTCGTTCTATAGTCCCAGTGAAGTTCCCACCGATGGTCGAGATGCCTACCGTGCCTGTGATTATTATCGGTATCCTGTTTGTTATCGTGACTGTACTGTGCTTTACAGTGCTACGTGGGCCTCTTTCTGATATTGGTATTGACTCGGAGAATCTGGTAAAGTATGGCTCCATTCCTCTTGTCAGTGTGGTGTTCACGTATCTCCATATTTGGATTGCCTTGTGGATGACCTTTTATCCACTCCATTACACAGGTTGTTTGCAACTTCCAGACACTAATATGGGCTTTGGATGGCAGGGAATTGTCCCAAACAAAGGAGAGAAAATGGCTCGACAGGCTGTACAAATTATGACGCAACAGTTGCTGCACGTGTCGGAAATTTTTGCAAGGATCCATCCTGCACAAGTTGTTAAAGAGCTGGAGCCGATTTTGTTTAGCACGATTCAAACGGTCGTGGAAGACATGGCGTTAAAGTACAGTCCTGACTTATGGGCTGTGCTGCCGGGCAAAGTGAAAGAAGAGATTGTTGAGAAAGTGAAAGAGGAATCGCCTGTCCATATTGCGGCACTCATGGATGATATCCGTAACAATATTGAAGATGTCTTTGATCTGGAAGATATGGTGGTTACGAATATGTGCAAGGACAAGCAGCTATTGGTGAATATGTTTGTTACGTGTGGCTACTCAGAGCTGGCTTTTATTCGGAACTCAGGTGCCTACATGGGAGGGATCTTTGGTCTCATGCAGATGGGAATTTGGTTTGTGTATTCAGACCCTATTGTAGTATTCCCGGTGATCGGACTGCTTGTGGGCACTATCACTAACTGGCTTGCTCTTAAGATGATTTTTGAGCCCGTAAACCCCAAGAAGTATTGCGGCATTACCTTTCACGGTCTGTTCCTGCGACGTCAGAACGAAGTTGCTGAGGTTTACGGTAAAATGGTTGCACGCGACGTCCTAAACTCACGCAACATTTTTGAGGCTATTCTGAAGGGCCCGTACTCGGATCGCTTGTTTGAGCTCGTGTACGACAATGTGCAGGAGGCCGTCAACGCGGCCACCAAAACTACGCAAAAGATTATTAATTTCAGCATCGGTGAGGAAATGTACGTCAATATTAAGGAAGATGTGACGAACCACATTGTGGAGATATTTCCGGAGAGCCTTCGACAGATTGAGAGCTACGCTACCGTTGCCATGGACTTGGAGGTGACGCTACGCGAAAAAATGAAGTTGCTGACCTCGGAGCAATTTGAAAATCTTCTTCATCCAATCTTTGAGGAGGATGAATGGAAACTCGTTGTCATGGGCGGCGTGCTAGGTGTTGTGATTGGCGTTGTTCAAATTTTCCTTATCGACCACTAACCTGGCACTAAATGTAGTTTACGTACGGTGCTGCTGTACATGCAGTGGTGCTTCTTCATAGTTTGATAAATGGCTCGCGACATAACGAGGGCTTCTTTTATGCTTCAAAACAATGACTTATCAATTCACTTTTTTTAATTTTTTAACAGCGATGTCACATCATGTGCGAGACAATGTCTAACTTAGCGGAGTTGGTCGATGCTGAACTGGCAAACTGGGCAAACCTTGTTTAGAGACAGCCATGAATCAACGCAGTCGGAGTGATACGAATGAAAGCACGGCAACGACTTGATCTCCTCACCGATCTCAAAGCTGCAGCGGCAAATTAGGCAACTACAGCAAAAGATGGCGTAGGCCGGGTAAGCAAGCGATCGACTATCACTAGCAAAATTGATTAGACGTACTCAGGAATGCCATGACCATGGTGCTTCTTTGCTGTGGTGAAGATGTATGTTGGGAGTTGGTTAATAAGCGATGTCGATGCACCACGACTGTTTACAAAAACAAAGAACACGCTGTTAGTTCAACACTTAGTCTAGTAAGATAAGAATCTAGCATACGATTTCAATGTGTTGGGACGGCGGCCGTGCTGGTCTTGGACGGAAGGAAGCGATTCGTCAGGCTCAGTTTCAATGCTGACTGCAAGGTTTAATTCAAGCAAGACGTGAAAACAAAATCATCTTTGCAGTTCTACTGTTCGAGATAACTTACCAATCCGGTAATCCAGGCTCGGGTGGATCTCAGTTACCACAACACCTCTCACAAACTGCAGCAAGATGACATGTGTGAATTTGCATGCTAAATCTAGTTTGTAGAAACAAGTGCATCCACATACCTCGTCGTCATAGTTATTCCCAGGCGTATCTAGAACGACACAAAAGCGGCCAGTATCAGCAAAAGATTGACTACAATCATTGACTATTTATAACAATACATACCCAAGTCGGTTTCATATAAATGCTGTAGCCATCGTGCATACTCCTCGTCGAAAGGCATTATTCCTACAGCCACAGCACTTTCATAATGAGCAAATATGAACCTTACAGCAATAGCAAAAAGAGTACGCACCTGTACCCATGTCAAAAGAAGATGGCACGTTCTCATTCAACGACTCTTCACTCGCTCCCATCAGTACTACTTGTTCACGAATAGCGTCGGGAAGCACAAAACGGAATAAATGTCGCAGTGGCACCACTTTCGTTTGACCACGACCAGCATCCACGTGAAAAAGCAGATAGATATCCACTCGGTTTCGGTGCGTCTTCCGAATCACATCAACTTTCTCCAGAGTGAGATCTCCAAAAGGTGTCCGAATATCAGGCCGCCCGAGCAAAAAGGTGACAGCACTTGGACCGTCGTACCGCATAGCCTTCGCACTGCTGGCGCGCCGTTGCTGCTCGGCAAAGGAGCTTACATGAGCCGCATCCCCGTTTGCTTGATCAGCTGTCCCCGCTACATTCCCAACAGAATTGATTTCATCCATCTGCCTTACAGGTAAGGGCAACTCCATAGCTGGAAATGCGCTGGAGTTGTGCGAAAACAGAATTCGAACTGCAAACTGCTTGGGTAATGAAAACGTCGACGAGATGGAGTCAAAGTCACCCTTCTCAAGGTACAAAGTAGTGACCCCTACATTATCTTCGTCAATACCAGCTTCTCCATCAACTATCTGCAGATCTAACAAGATGCTGGCGTGTAGACGGCACTCAAAAAGCAGTTCCCCCTGACGTCCAAAAGGCAAATGGTACATTTTAAACATCAAATCACTGCAGTTTTGCAATTGTCTTCCCACCCGGAATATGTGCGTTCCAGAATGCATATCAACATTACGAACTCCATTCACCATGCTAGAAAACAAAACACCCTTCTCATTTTGAATGACAAAATAGGGCCGACAGATGTCGGCTAGGGATAATAGGGTAGCAGGGGCGGCTGAACTAATAGCATCATTCTCACAATCAGGACCCGACAACAAGTCAATTTGCCGGATGTAAATCGGTCGAGGTGCCGGTGTAACAGCAATACCTGTAAGCTTATGTTTCTTCTCCTCTAGCGCAGACGAGTCCGCGCAGTCCATTAGTTTCCTGTCTCGCATTTCCAGCAATTTGCCAAAATCTGCAATGTATCGCGCCTGAGGTCTTGGTAATCCACCAGTATATGCTTCATTTTTCGAAATGCTTCCGCTGAACGTTCGTTGAAGCTTAGCAGGCCACGTTTCAGCCGTCTTAATGTGGTGCAAGTACGCACTGAGTAACTCGTTCCCAAAATTTTCAGGAAAGGAAGACGCATCCGTACAGTAAAGCGTGCAGCAAGTTGCAAACACACTCATTTGTTCATTGTTTGGTGCAAGCAAAATTGCAACGTTCGAAGGTTTCAGATCCAGCCATGCAGCTACCGTCGAGGCGACCACAAATCCTGAATGCATTGATGGAATTGGGCCACGGCAATACGAGATAGAAGCAATCCGTCCGTCTGCAACACAAATGTATACCACAACGCACTATTGAATCAAACAAATCTAGAAAAAAGCGCAATCGTACATACCACAAAACATACCACAAAACTCATCAAACACCAATGCTTTGTGATGCATACGCTTGACTCCGTCAAACAAACCGCAATCAAAAACGCACGCTTCATCTTCAAACCTACAACACCAGCATTAGGGTCCAGCCTTTAAAATTTGAACTTATAAAACAAACACTACGTACCTCTTCGTCATTTGCGAATCCAGCAACTCTAGCACCTTCACCGCCGCGTTCCAATTGCGTGACGACGAGTACGCCCCAAGCAGTCGACTGAACATCGTGATATGTAATGGCGCCACACAATACACCCTACAACAAGAATAGTAAACAAGCAAACGACAGATGCTCAATACTAAGCACCAAAGATTCTGTCTCAAGTGCAGCTAACCTCGGTGCAATCTGAATAAAGCATCCATCTTCACTAGTCTTAGCAAAGGATGCATATTGCACAGCACTTTGCAAAGAAGCCTGTAGTCGATAGGTCCACAGCAAGACTCTGTATGTATTGGAAGCCGCATTCTCGCTCTCTTGCTTCACATTGTTGGCGTCTGTCACCGCTTCAATAGCTTCAAAGCTCTCTTGTGATTCCGTTAGTAGCGAAGGAGGTGAAGTTGGCGGTATAGGCAACGCCATCTTCTCTTCGTTTTCTCCAGCTGCTGCGTTCTCCTCTGCAATTGCTTCCATCGCCGTCACTTCGGTAGGAGACGGAGGTAGAGACAGCTTCAGCAGTAGACGACGTACGCGCGGATCTTCAGCAACACGCTCTGAGTTCATGCGACGAATGAGCACGGAACCACGCTCTACCCACGCCAAACTCTCGGGAAATTGCTGATCACTTGCCATACGCGCAACAAGTTTTTAGTGTATTAAAAAAAACCACCTTCTTTGCTTCAGTTCTTTTACGAAAATGACCATGGAATGTGGTTTTCAAGATAGAAGAAGGATTTGAAGGAATTCCTGACGTTAGTAATTATAAGAACATGTGGTTTTATGCTTGGTGAATATGCCAATCAAGCTTCCTGGATTTTCATTATTGTTACGTTGCAATAGAACCTCCTGAATCATGGGCACTGATTTTACGTGGTGTTGTAATTGTTGACGTACGATAAAAGCAATTGCCACACGAAAGAGTTTTGATAATGCAGAAACGTCAACATATTAACTCGCCATGAAGCTCAAACATAAGCTTCGTTTTACCATGCTATCGGCTTACTTGCGCAAAGGCGGCGCCATATTCTGCGGCAAAGCTTTACCGTAACCAGAACGAAAGGTTGTACCCATGCTACCAGCATCTTCCGTCGCAGGCCTGTTGGAAGGCTTGGCCCACTCCAGCTTGAGAATCAAGTGATCGTAACCGTATCCCTGCAACTTGTTTAGCGCCTTCTCTGCGTCCTCGCGGTACATGAAGCTAACAAACGCAAAGCCACGCGACTGGAACGTCTCGCGATCCTTAGCCAAATACACACGTGATACAGGTCCAAAGGCACGGAACAGCTCTTTTAGATCATCTTCACGAGTGTCAGGTGACACGTTGGTTACACGCAGCGTAGCGCTGTCGTCACGAGCATTGTCGCCACCAGCGTCGCCTCCAGTGTCACCTACACGTCCACGCAGACTAGGTGGCACGTACTTGCTAGAGCCGAACGCTCCGTCCAAAGCAGAGCCACGAGATGCGGGCTCGGCTGACGCAGCAGCGGAGGCCACTGATTCTCCGGCCTCGGCACGCTTGGCCATGTCTTGCTCTAGTTCCTCCTTCGGCGTGTCTTTGTACGGACACTTAAGCGTCCAGTGGTCACCCACCATGCCACAATGACGGCACACAACAATGGACGAGTTCTTTACGCCAGCAAAAATATTCTCTTCCTCTTTCTTCTCGCCGGGCAGCACCTGGTCAGCGTTTGGGTCTTCCAGCGTCACCTCTTCGTACGATCTGTACGTCACGTTACTTCCATCGCCGCCATCTAACGCATCCCCAAACTTTCGCCATTTTTTCCGCTCCAGTGCGCGCTTGCTAATGCGCTCAACCTCTGTAACTTTCTTGACCTTCTTCGTCACCTTTACCTTATCACCGGCTTCATTCAACTTCCATTCCACAATCTGTCGGATACCATTCGAGTCCGGCTCGCTCTCTACGCGTTGTGGCAGTAGATCGTCCTCTTCGTCTCCCCAACGCATACCTGAGATCACCATTGCTATTTAGCGCTACAAAATACGTTCTTGTGTTTTGACTGGCTGACAGTATGTGGTTATGCTGTGTGATGTACACCAAAGTAAATGGGACCGTACGAATTCGAAACTTACGTCAAAGTGATAGAAATGCCACACAATCTATCATCTGCAGGCGAATGGTCAGACCAAGCATAGTTAACTACTTTGTCGAAGGTTTATCTGCGATGTGTGGCAAGTCCAGCCTAAACTGATTGGGATGAGAGTGTTTGCATTTGGTGGAGTTTGCCGATGGGTAGTCACCGTTTGAGGCTGATCTGGATAATGTGTCATCTGATGAACTCGGTGACCCAGACTTTGAGAACCACAATGTCTGCTCAGATTTATTCGTAAGCAAGATACGCTTGAAGATTTGCACAAGCTGCCATGAGTGAAGCTCAGGCTCGTATGAGTCGTATCTTGACAAGATTAGGCTTGTTTAAGATCAAAAGATCCATTCTTGATGAATGAAAATAAGACATTCGTCGCGAAGCTTTTGCTCGCAAAACACGCGCAAGCTAGTCAATGACTGCTGATGCAGAACGTGATCTGCGTGTTTTTAGCTTACAGTTCAACCGGAGCGAGAAAAGGCCATGTGGCTTTTAGCAGATCAAAGGTGAAGTAATCAGCGGGAGTGTAAGTAGTTATGCCTGAAGGTCATAAGATGTCTACAACATAATGATGCATGTTACAAGTCGCGTGTTCAGAGCATATTGCGGTGAACTAGTGATGAAAGCAGCTGACGCTGTTGTTCTCCTGGAGGCGGCAACCTGACACATACCTCGGAGCCGCCAGAAGCTTGAACGCTGTATTGACGCTGTTATTGACGCTGTGAACTAGCTAGCAAAAACAATGCCGATACAGTACTCATCCATTCCAGCTTGTTTTAAAGACCAGACACATAGCGAACTGGCTACTACAATGTACAAAAGAGTCTCCGAAGCGATGGCATTTGCTCATCCATACACTGTTAAGTGCTCGACGCCGTCAATCGTGTACTGCTAAAGTTCCGTTGAATAGTCCCTTCGTCGACACGAAATTTGTCCGAATGTATGTATGAACTCTAGTCTGGTTTTCAAAGGCCGAAAGCAAACCCATTGCTTGGTGTCATCCAACCTTCTCACGTAAACAGGAGTCAAATGTGAATATTCTTCCGGTCAGTACTTTCCAGCTACGGTACGAGTGTAACGCTCATCTGTTGGCGTGGCTAACTGATATGCCGTGTTGAAGTTGGGCTACCTGTGAATACACACAATAAAATGTAAAACGCACAACGTTTGCAAGGTAGTAAAACAAACAAATACTGAAAAAACAGCACTCACAAGCTGCAGCGAGTTGGGCAGTGGCACCATCGTTTCTATGGTTGAAAATGAAGAAACGTTTTCTTCTTTGCTCATTGTGGCCGGATCGTCATTATCGTCGGCAATTGTCTTACTTACTGGTACAAAAGCTTCCGCTTGAGACACGGTCAACGATGCCGAGGGCGGTAAATAATTTTGTGATGGTTCGTCAAAGAACTGAACTGCCGACGGTAATGCACTCACCATTTCCGCTCGCAACTGTTCGTTGGTAGCTACTTTACTGCTGCGTTTCACATTGTCACTACGGTTGCTATCGCGCACCCATGCTTCGTGCGTCTGCTCATCACCCTCCATTTCCTGGCCTGCGTCTAACGGATGCAAGTATGCGTACTTCCCAATGACACCTATGCCAAGTATTTTCTCCGGAATAAAATCACCACAGACCGAGAAGTTCTGCATAAGTAATTTTGTGCATTGCCTGCCATTGTTCTCTTGTAACACACGCACGGCCTTTGCAAAATCCATCGTGTCGATGCGAATATCGTTCACTGCGACGATATGATTATCCGATCGGATAGTAACCCAATCGATGTCCTTGCCCATGACGATACCAATACGCTTCAGCACGATCAATGGTTGATCAACAAATTCAAACTCTAAAACGCTTTCCACTTCCACCACACGGTCGTACACAAACAACTCGTACTGAAAAATCTCGCCAACCGACGCCTGTACCACAGCGTTGCAGCCGCTCGCCACCACCTCTCTACACATCGAGTTGATATCGCTTTTCACATACACGAAGCGAACTGTACTAGATGACGGGATGTCCTTTGTACTGATCGTTATTTGTCCGTGCCCACCAGCTGGTACAAAGTGAAAAGGTCCCGTGTTAATCTCTGCCGAGTCTTCTTCTGAAATAAGTACTTGGACATAATCCTTCACAGAGTGCGTTTCCGGCACGTCGTATTCCACTGCATACAAAAAAAGAACACAAGCTACGTTGGCATCACGGCAAACCTAAGCAGAAATTACATCGTACTCACACGTAACAAACGACCCCTTTTCGACCTGTCCACCCATATCCAACTGTACAATCCCGCTAGGTCGGAATGCAAGCAGCTTCATCGCGTAGACACTATTGGCCGTCATTTGATCCAGCGACTCTTTCAATTCTTGAGCTTGTGCCACCCAATCTGGCATATGTCCTCTTTGCAATAAATCCTGTGGGAGCAACCCGTAACTATCTCTCATTGGTTGTGCTCCGGCGTGAATCAGCATCTTGATGGCCACTGCGTTCTGAACGAAGCACCCGTGGTGCAGCGCCGTCCAGTCATTTTCGTCCTTGTGATCCACGTTGACCCGACGTTGCAGCAGCAAACGTAGAATCTCCAATTCCTTGGGCAAAAGTCCCATGTTTGCGTTATCCCTCATCTCGTCCACAGTCTCGCTATAGCTGCTATCTGTCCCACCATTAGCCTCTAGATTCGACTCTTGATCCTGCTCGTGTCCCTCTGCTGTCAATGAAATGATAGTATTTTTCTCATCTCGACACAAAACGCCATGGAGATCGTTGGGGTTTGCGTCCAGCTCTTGATGCTTGTGCAGATGCTTTAGGCCCGCGACTGCAAGCAGCAGCGGCGTGCGCCCACAGTTGTCCATGGCCTCCAGATCCTCACTTGTCGCTGTCTTAAGCAGTCGCTGAAACTCCACCAGGTCCCCATTTTTGCATGCGCTGTGTAGTGTCACTCGATTTCCCATGCTGTTACTCTCGGACAATTGTTGCCAATCGATGGGATCGCGAACGTTGCAATAGCAAGCCAGTACTAAATAATATCGTACGGCATTTTAAGTACTTCAATATACAGGACTATTAATTATAGGTAGAGCGCTTCTGTATCAACTAGCTACAGCAAATACTGTAAGCATTATATAATCAAGGTTATTAGTTTATATAATAAAATGGATTGTTGCCATCTTTTTGCAACACAAACTCAGCTCAGCGTCAGAGACGCGAATGCTGCGCGTTCACAATAAGTAAGTGCGCTAGAAACCCTTCATGACTTGTATCCTTGTTTTAATTTGCTGATAAACGCAATGCAAAGTGTGCTCATTCGTACGGTCTCGTCGATTCCTGTGCTGATGGTGGCGGCTATTGCGAGTCTAGAGTATTTTGTATTCATGACAGAGCATTGGCTTCCTAAAATTCAGCGGTCTGTGGGGTTTTATGTGCTACTACGAATATTGGAAGCTGCGATATTCCACTTTGTATTTGGATGTATGATGGTTGCCTACTATAAGGTCGTGTTCACAGGTATGACCTACTGCAGAGGTGTGCGAGATGGTGGGTGCTGAGCTTTTGCGTGTGTGTTGCTATACAAAAGACCCTGGATATGTCACGCCTCTGGTGGTGCAATATATTCAAGATGCCACTCAAGATGCGATGGAAGAAGGAGGTATCAAGAGACAGCCGATCATGGACTTGTGCCGACGATGCAATCTGCTCAAACCTTTCCGAGCGCATCATTGCCGCTTTTGCGATCGCTGTGTGTTGAGAATGGGTACGCACTGTATACAAACTAGATGGATCATCATCCTTGTGTCATCAGTAACATGCATTGATTTTGTGTCAAGATCACCATTGTCCATGGGTCGCTAACTGCGTCGGTGAAGGCAACTACAAGTTTTTCTTCCATTTCATCATGTACGCGTTTTTCATCTTGTCGATGTGCGTGAGGGCACTAGCAGGGCCATTTCTAGCTGCATTTTTCAGTGAGAATGCACCACGCGTCGCTGCCGAATTCTCTGTTATAGCTGTCGTCGGTTTTGTGCTAGGCGGTGCGCTGGCAATCAGCTTGCTGGTCTTAATAGCATTTCATTTGTATCTCCTGTTTCACGGTGCTACTACTATTGAATTTCACCAATACGGCCGTGCGTTCCCATTCAACCAGGGATGGCGAAAGAATGTTCATGCTGTGCTTGGAAACACGACAAAAGACTTGCTGCTGCCAACGACGCCTGCCCGAAAGCAGCATTTTATCTTGCAGCCTGGAGAGCTAAAGCGCCTAACTGCTGACAGCTGCTTATGGGACTTCAATGACTACGAAGATGATAGTTTGCTGTAGACGAGATACATGAATAATAGAGTTTGACTTCGTCTTATGGGCAAATGATTGATACGTTTACGTCATTGTCTTGTAATCTCCTGAAAAGCTATAACCTTCAATCAATACTTGAGTTCCGTATCAAAAAGCAGAAGCGCACATGTGGTTTTTCACTCAGAAGACACTTCACCGTTGTGGAAGATCAGTGACGCGCTATTCACGCAGTGACGTTCGTCAGTTGGTGTCTTGAATCCCTCACCTTTAAATACGTGACCCATGTGACTAAAAAATCACCCACACACAAAGCGTTAGCATCCACAATTTATATACAACCTCTCTACGTCACAAATATCCTCACCCGTCGCACTTGGCGCACATAATTTCAGTGCGACGTCCGTCTTCGTCAGGAACAGCCTGTACGATTAGTTTGCATATTAGACCCGATCCAAATCAAAGCAAGATCACGCTTCTAAATCAAACGCACCTTAATGGCATTGGGAATAGCGTCGTAAAACGCGGGCCAGCCACATCCTGAGTCGAACTTCGTCGTAGACGTGTAGACAGGTGCTTTACATCCAGCACAGACATAGACTCCCGTATCCGTGTGCTTGTTGTACTCTCCAGTCCCAGCTCGTTCCGTTCCTTTAAGACGCAGCACCTGGAACTGCATAGGCGTTAGTCGCTTCTTCCATTCTTCGTCCGAGAGCTTTGCCACATCACTGCTATCGTTAGAATTGTTTGCCATGGATGCGAAAGATATAGTGAAGTTTCCAGTGACGGCAGATAGAGATACAAAGTGAGAACGCAGAGCAAGAAACGATACTAACGGGCGCGATAGCTTATACATGAACACTGAATAAGAACAACCTCCCAACGAGCATATTGAGAATGTTGGTCGTATTTTACAAAAAATGTCGTCTACTACCACATGTCACAAAAGAAAACGAATTTCCGAAGGGGGGGTCATGGTGTTAGCAGAACTTGGATCGAAGTTGCAAGACGCACTGGGCAAACTAAACCGAACGACGGTAGTGGACGATGAGGTGTTAAATGCTTTGCTTAAGGAGATTTGTGGTGCGCTGCTCGAATCCGACGTGCAGGTGAAACTCGTGCGCCAACTCCGCGACAATGTTAAGCTGGCTGTGAACCTGGAGGACGTGAGTTCGGGTACGAACCGCCGTCGACTTATTCAAAAGTCCGTGCTGGAACATTTGGTGCAGATGCTGCAGCCAGAGGCGCAGCCTTACAAGATGAAGAAAGGTCAGAGCAATGTGATCATGTTTGTCGGACTTCAAGGCAGCGGCAAGACGACGAGCATTGCCAAGTTTGCTCACTACTACCAGCGCAAAGGCTGGAAGACCTGTATGGTCTGTGCCGATACTTTTCGCGCTGGAGCTTTTGACCAGCTAAAGCAAAACTCTACAAAGCTGCGTATCCCGTTTTACGGCAGTTACACGGAGGCCGACCCTGTCCGCATCGCAGAAGAAGGTGTGGCTCAGTTTCGAGCTGAGAACTATGAGCTTATTCTTGTTGATACTAGTGGTCGCCATAAGCAGGAGACCGATCTGTTTGCAGAGATGAAAGAAGTCTCCGCGGCGATAAAACCTGATGACGTCGTGTTTGTCATGGATTCGACGATTGGTCAAGCTGTGTTCGACCAGGCCAGGGCTTTTCGCCAGACAGTAGATGTAGGCAGTGTGATCATTACCAAGCTTGATGGTCATGCCAAGGGCGGAGGTGCTCTTAGTGCCGTGGCGGCCACCGGGTCGCCCATCATTTTCTATGGTACTGGTGAACATTTTGCGGACTTTGAGTCGTTTAACGCGCAGAGCTTCATGAGTCGTCTGATGGGAATGGGAGATATCAGAGGGCTGATGGAGGAAGTGAAGACTAGTGGTATGCTCGATAATCAGGAGGAAATGGTTGAAAAGTTTCAAAAGGGCGTATTCACGCTGCGAGACATGTACAAGCAGTTCCAGAGCGTCATGAAGATGGGTCCGCTGAGTAAGGTAATGTCAATGATCCCTGGGCTGCCTCAGGGCATGGGCGATATGATGAACATGACTGGAGGTGAGGAGGAATCTTCAAAACGATTTCGTCGGTTCCTTTTCATGATGGACAGTATGACAGATGCTGAGCTCGATGGCATTGTTCCTATTTCGGAATCGCGCCAAACGCGAGTTGCGCGTGGCTCGGGCTGCCAGCTGTATGAGGTGGAATTCTTACTGAAGTGTCACAAGCAGTTCGCGACTGTTGTGAGCCGCATGGGAAAAAGCGGCCTTATGAAGGCGGGAGATGCTGCCTTGGGCAAACAAATGGCACGTAACCCGAACGCTGTGATGCAGCAGCTGTCGAAGGTCATGGATCCGAAGATGATGGCGCAGGTTGGAGGCCCGCAGAACATAATGCGAATGATGAAGCAGATGCAAGGTATGGATCCTAGCGCAGTAGGCGACATTACTAAAATGGCCCAGGGTATGCCGTTTTAGATAGTTACAACCATCCGGAGGAATACTGGTCATGTGATAACAGTTGCGATGACGGTGCAAGTGCTTATTGTAATCGACTGAGGAAGTGTTTTGGGCGTTCTTAATAAGAGTGCTGTCTTGGATCTAGCTGCAAACGACTAGATTTGGCTGATAAATATGCTAATACTTCCATATGCAGTCAGTCAAGTGTAGCATTGCAAAACTTGTCGTGCCCTCATTTTCGTTTAAAAACATAAGCTTCTTTGTGATACTGAATGTCCTGAGGTGGCTTCGCTCACAACTTGTTCAGATTTGGATGCTATCCAGCGCTTTTTTGTCGAAATCGGCGACGGGTCCTTAAAAACGATTCAAGTCCCTTGCATTGCTTTCAGCAATCTATGAAGTTTACTGTAGGCTGCATAATTAAAACACTGAGAAGACAATTCGCGGCTATTACAAACAAATTGAAGATCGATTCGCCATTGTAGGTGTTTGAAGCTCGCGTTTGTAGATAATTGCTCCATCCGCATATTCAACGCAATTTTGAATGTCAAGCGCAGTGAAAGGGAGCATTGACCTCGATATAGTTCAGATGAAAGCCTTTGCAAGCCAAGGCAACAAAAATAAAGTTGTTTTAACTCAAACGTAAGAAAGTAAAAAGCACTTTGATCGTGGAGACGAGGCATCTCTGTGCGGTTGTTGGCAGAGTGCAGAAGAGGTTGATTGCAGTCCTTAGTTCACACTATGTGCAGCCTCAAGTCTGCTGATTCTATAAAGCTACCTGAGACATTTGTATGCTGCCGCTGGTAAGCTGCAAACGAAGACCTAGACTTTACATGAGATTAGAGAAGGTTGACTTCGTGCTTGAACTTGATATCCAGAACGAAAGCCTTTAGTCTAAAAGGTTGAAACATCCTAGCTCAACGATGTAACGGTATTGAACATACACACCTGCCACACCAATGTGGTGTAGCTGTACCTTGGATACAAAAGTAGGTGGTGTAACCGTACCTGAAGTACGAAGGGTATGTTTGCACAATAATAACATGCTAAAGAGCCAGTAAATTAGTGACTAACGCTAAGTATAGAGTAGGAGCTTTTATATTTAGTGTTAGAAGAAAAACATAAATATAAATCAGTTTTAAACCTGCTCTGTATAGCACTAGTTGCTTGAGCTTACTATTCCTCCTGAGGAATTTGTATCTTTGATACTAGTCTCTTTGAGACTCGGTTACAACAACCGATAGGAGCAAGCTTACGAGCTAGCCTAGGAGGGTTAAGCACCCTAAGACGTAGAAGCTCTCTGAGCTTGTCTTTCTCTGCATTTATTGTATCAGTAGCTTTGCTACAGTAGTTTGACGACTTTTTCTGCACATAGTGCATAAGTAGTGTGGCTACAGTAGTTCGGCTACACATATGGTGCAAACTATATTGTGCACGGATCGAGCCATGGTACTGCGTTTACGGAACGTTTAATACATCTCAATTGTTCTCAAGTGACGGAATACATTCTAAGTTGTTTATCACGACTTCAGGAGCATCCCAAAACAAAGGCTATTACATATCAATGGCAGACATTGATAGAAAATTCATTTATGGCATAGTGCGCAACGGCGCGTGAGTGCATTTAATTGGAGAGGTCTGGTTTGAAGTTACGTAAAAGGTCGTTCGTCGCGAAATCGGAAAGGGGTTCCCCTCGATGAGGTAAGTCTCCTGGTTGCTGCAGATAACCGATCCATTTGAGATTGTTGCAATGGATCACATTCCGTCATTATTGCGATCATGCTTGGGGAACGTGTAGTTAATAACATGGGTGAATATTATCTCTGGATACGTGATCACAAAGGCGATTTCATCACAAACTGCACCGACTATTGCAAAAAAATCGAGAAGTGTGTATTTAGACGTTTTGGTGCTCGTGAAGCGATCCGACAAAATTGAAAACCAGGATATATGTCAGTTTTTTTGCGCTCAACAATATTTTAATAAGAATGCAGCGGATGACTATGGCAAAAAATCTCACGCAAAAAAATGCGACCACTGAGCGAATGGTGCCAAAATTCACACGTTCATTGAACCTGTATGTCACGGACGCGGATCAGAAGATTGTCATGAAAACGCAGAGCGACTACAATGTGCGACCAATACGTTTCATGGTCGGGTTTGTGGACAAACACGATTCTGCTTGATTCATGAATAGATCCGCGATCGACGCTGGAAGCAACATCACCGTTAGAAAGTGTGATGAAGTGGAAATCGCAAGATCCTAGCTCTCCCAGCTCCACCCACTACAACCTAGACAATCGACTTACGGAGGGCCGTTTGCTGAAAACGTCTTACATTTTGTATCCATCGATTGGGCGGCTTGCTGGTTTCTGAGTCGATGTCGGACTTGATGTGTTTGGTAAGGTATTCATCGACGCTGAAATCGTCACGAGGTCGGTAGTACTTGGTGGCAGACTAGTACGTATTCGGCACGATCCACCATCGGATCGCTCTTGTCCCGATGTGTAGATCCTCTGACCGCTTGAGCCTTCTGTAGATCTTGTCTTGATGTTGTAGCTGCGTTAAATCGCAGGGTCTTGTGTGTTGAGAGTTTGTGACCGTAGCCAAAACTATCTAGGCCAGTCCCAATCGAACGCGCGCGGAGTCTTTAGACGTCAGAGGTTAATTATCCCGCCTGGAAGAGAAGGCGACACGTGTACTTGTTTAGAAATTATACTCTGTATTATATTTACCAATCAAAAGTCAAAAACCTATGACTATGCCTTTCTTTCTGATAAGATATGCTGCTATATATCCGGCCAGGCGCATCCAAAAGATTGTACCTTCTTAGAGTAGTTCACACCGATGCCACGAGTTGTATCGTTTCTTGATCGTCTCTTCGTATGAATAGTCCTTACTCGCTGTATTTATATAGCGATCCAGGATATCAATCGCAATCAGGACCAACAAAGCGATAGTCGATCACATATGATAGCGATCCACTTTTCGGTCTATGTCGCGATCTGGCTCTAAGTCGCGGTCAGTGTGTGGTGTACATAAAATATATGTACACATCAGCGTTTTCATTTTTGACTTTGCTACAGAAGCACCAAGATCCGTTATTGACGCTGGAAGCAACATTACCGTTAGGAAGCACCAAGACTCGTGATCGATATCCAAGGCGATGGCGAGTTCGTGCACAACGCCAAAATCAGCGAGATAGTGCAATAGTGAATGATCATCTCGCGACTGCGATCCGGGGTGGAGCGACATAACGCTGAGCACGAAACACATGAAATCGAATGTGCAACACAAGTATATGGGATCGAGTCAAGGAAAGTTACGTTCGTAGGCTGTATCGAGATCGAGTCAAGAAAGAATGCGCTCGTAAGCTAACACAAATGTGACATGGGCATTTTCGCGTGATAGAGATGTGTAATGATTACTCTATAAAATTCTAGATCGTTGAAATACCTTACAAAGAGATGTACCCAACAGTTCACGTATCGAAATTGAAATGAGTAAAATCTTCTTCAGATCGACCACAGAATGTCTTACGGTAGACAAAATGGATCAGCAAGATTTTAATTGATGCCATGTTGCCAAAGATGGCTAGGCAAGCGATCTCGATGATGATGAATATTTTTTGTGGAGAAAAGATCGCCGATATGCGATATAATCGTGAAGACAGGTGGGGAAAAAAAGTCGACAGAATTGAGTCAATTATGTGCGCAAATTGATCCGAAAGAGTGAATGAAGGTGAATTGAGTATTGGAGTCTTGATGTGTGACTTAAGACGAGATCAAGCACGTCAAAATCATTTTAGAATGATGCCATCTCGCAGGAAAAGCTTCATGATTACTTACGATTAAGCGGCTAGGAGTGGTAAGAATATACAAGGTAGTTGTATTAGGCGATGGATTAAGTGGTGTGTAAATATTTGGATCGAGATCAAACGTTCGCGGTTGAGGCCGAAAGGCAAAAGAATAATGGAAACATTGCACATGCAATTGCTCTAAATGTGAAACGAAAGTAGAAAATTTGTAAATTGAGCAAACCTAAGTAAACACTACTTCTCGATATACTTATCGATCAAGCAAGGGATCGAAGACCCAGGATGATTTTGAATCGCAAGACAATATCGGGTTCGCCACGGCTTGGTTGCATCGGACCGATACAAGCAGTAAATAAATTCGAAATGTTAGGAGGCTTGCCTCATAAGTTAGGATACCGCATTGGTTTCTCAGTCGATCGATATAGGCCAAAAAGAAGGGATCGGACATTATGTCCGGATCGCAACATCCGTTAGTCAAATCTTGGAGATGACCTTCAAATTTTATTTTTAGCAAGGACCACATCTTCATTTTCTCTATTTGTTTTCACGTTGATTCTCCGTTATGTAAGCGAGATCGGAAGCATATGAATGGATTTGTACAGTACTTGTCTATCTCGACCTTCGAAATGAGGTACCAATTTACGAGCGCGCCGAACAATCCGGTAAATGTTGCGAAGCAAAGATTATGGAAAGGGTCTTTGTTTGGAGCGATCAGGTGATATAGTTATTGGTATAAGCCTGAATTACACATGATTGGTCAATAACGAAATTGCACGGTGTGGATTACACAATACGAATCGCAATTGCAGATAAAGTCGTCAGCAGACTGGATCGCGTGGTGTGGACCGCATACCTCGGATCGCGATCAAGATTTAAGCGACGCGTGGAGGTTGGTCTTTTCCAAAAACTAGGCAAGATAATAGTTTCTGGGTCTATCGGACATCATCTCTAAAGACAGGACACGAGCCCCGAGTAAGCGTAGATCTAATAGTGAAATTATAGATACTTTGAAGCACCAATGTGGATCGGTCAATTGCAGAAGCATACCTTGAGATCGCGGGTGTCGAACCGCCGTAAATTTTGGTGGGATAGATGTTTCAGCTTGCGCTTGTTGTATTAGCTCGACTTAAAGTTGTTGCACGATCTCCTCTCGCATTACTTTAGGTTGAAGATGCTTCTTACAGCTGATCTGGTGATCGGA